TGAATAATTAGTTCTTCCAACATCATCCAGGCTAAGGGGTTTGTTTGTTTGTTTATTTATTTTAAAGAAAACTTCCAGGAATTGGATTCAATTGAATCTGTAGGATTAATCTGTAGGATTAATGAGAGTCGAATCCTAATCAGCCAGACTGGCCACCACAGGTGGCTGAGAAACACCCCCAGGACCTGGTGCCTCCCATGAATTTCCCACAAAATGTTAAATAAGAACAATAATGACAATGACATCAAAAACAACCTCTTATCTGCATATGATTATAGCACATATTAGAGGTAGAAAAGTGAAAGTATTTTAGAAGTACAGCATTAAAAAGATTTCTCAAGCCAACTCAATAGAGACTCGCAGTATGTAATTTATCCAACTGCCTTGCTACCCAGAATAAGGATAGCAATTGAAAGAAATGACTCCACATGCAAATACTTGGTATAATAGATGCTGTCTTCAGGTCTGAGGACCAATTTTCCGAGAAGCTAGGAGTGCTGTCAGCAGACAGCCCTGAGCTGCCAGCCCTCTACAGAAACGATCCTTGGTCACAGGGCACTCTCTCACCCCGGATCCGCTTGCATCCCATGATTGACTGATGTGGGAATGCGAACACCTACCCTTCTCACTGGGAGGGGAGTCAACTCTGAAGAGCTATCCAAGGGGCTGAGCTGAGGCCTCCACTGAAACTGCACCGAGCTTAGCTTTTGCTTCCGTCCAGTCCTGCTTCCTTGCCTTCCACCAATGCGGATGCCAAGAGCACTCCCTAATACATATTCTGCATGCTAACCTCTGAGCCTGCTTCTTAGGGAATCCAAACTGTAATACCAAGGCAATCAAATTCTTTGTTTCTAGCATGTTATTAAAATGTATTACCTTACACTAAGGACATAAATGTTCTTAATAATCATTTAATAATATAGCATGATATTGTTTGGATATTTTTTAATTACCTGCTATAGAACTACTTTCCTCTGGACACAGATAGGGCTGGTTGATTTGCTGTGATGGAAAAACAATCAGGAGGGAGAAGAGCTTTCAAAGTAAGCTACTGAACTGTCAAGTCCCCATACTCAGGAAATTATACTGGGGATTGGGGAATGAAATTGGAGTTACATAGGGGAAAGGGAAATTAAGAGGTTGCTAGTCCTGGTGGGATACATATGAATGTTTTTCTTAAGGCCTATGGCTATACAGCTTCCTGATAGTTAGGATTGATTCCCCCAAAAGGTTGTGTCAAAGGCATAGTGAAGAAAATTTAGTATGCCATCATCTGCCTTCCCTCTCTTCTTCTTAGTGCCCTCTCTTCTTGGTCTGCTTTCTCAGAACATCTTTCCCCCCTAATCTTTTATTAGCCAATAGGAGCCTGCTGATAGTATTTTAATTTTAGTATAGAATTCAAAAGAAGGTGAAATCTTTCAACATAGAAGCATGAGTCTAAATTGCCAATGGAAGTGTCAGATACCATGACTGGAGCAAGAAAGGTAGTTTAGAGCAGAAAATCTGCCCAGTGTCTGAGCCAGAGACTCTCCTAAAACGCCTTCAATAGAGTTTTTGGCTGTGCCTTGTGTGGAGATTGCTTATCCACCTCACTGTACCTTGGTAGTATGGTCTGCTTCACCATCAGTTTGAATTTCAGCTCTAGATTTAACAATCCACTTAACTGGTAATTACTAAGAACCTACCAGGTGCCAGAGATAACCGTAGTAAAGAAACAAGACAAGGTCCCCGCCTTCTACTGGAGGGAGAGAAAGAAATGAAAACACAAGCAAATATCATCACGTCCAATAATAAGAGTTGCTAAGAAGAGAATAAGGCAAAGCTGAGACAGAAGACAACTGATGGGCGGGGAAGCCATTTTAGCTGCGAGGGGCAAGGTAAGTGAAGACCTTCCTGAAGACTGACAGGTGCGCAGACACGTAATGGTGACCATCAAGCCATGTGAAGGTTTAGGCAGAAGAGCACCCCAGGCAAAGGCTGTATTCCACAAACAGCAAACAGAGGGGAGAAAGAGAGGCAGGGTGGTGCGGCAAGCAGGGGCCAGATCATGAAGAACCTTGCAGGCTGGAGCAAAGAGTTGGGATTTTATTCTAAGTAACAATAGGAAACCACTGGAGGGTTTTTTAAAAAGAGGAATAAACGTGATTTGATGTGAGTTTGTAGAGATCCCTCTACGGCGTGAAGAAAGGACTATGAGGGAGGCGGGAGTGGAGGCAGGGGGCAGCCAGGCAGCCGAGGCTGTCGGGCAGGTGAAGGTTGACAACAGGGTGGTCGGGGTCAGGGGACGTGATTGGGTCGAGAATGTATTTTAGAAATAAGACCAGCAGGACTTGACGATGGATGAGATGTGAGGAATGACACGGAGATGACTCAAAGATAATTCCCAACTGTCCTTGCTGGCACAACTGGACGAACGGTGATGCCATCAGCTGGGGTGGGGACACTGGGGAGGAGCAGACTTAGAGTCCAGGAAAAATCAAGACTTGTGTTTGGACATGTTAAACTTGAGATGTCTCTATCCTACCGGAGCTCTCAAGTAGGCACTGAATGCTTACAAGTCTATAACGCAGAAGGGAGCTGGGGCTAGAAGTGCAGAGCTACATGTCAACCGAGAAGGGTGCTCTTGAAGTCCCCGGGACCAAGGATATAGCCAGAGAAGGGAAGAGATCAAAGACTGAACTTCAATATTTAGGGAAGTGGTTTACCACCTTGGATGCACATCAGATACCGGGAGAGCTTTTAAAAAAAATATTGTACCTGCACGCATCCTTCAGAGGCCCGATTTAACTGGTCTGGGATTCAGTTCTGAGTGTCAAGAGATTTAAAAACGCCTCAGTGCTTCAAACGTGAGACCCACTGATTTAAAAAATTGGGATTAGGAAATTAAGCCAGAATGACTAGCCAGAATGAGAGCAAAAGGGACTGTCTGTGAGGTGGAAAGGAAACCAGGATAGTAGTGTCCTGGAAGTTAAGTGGAGGTAGTGTTCCAAGGATGGAATGGTCAATGGTGTCCAATGCTTGATGAGAAGTAAAAGGAGAGAGAGGAGAGAAGGGTATGAAGGGTGTGCATGACCTAAACATGAACAATTTTGAAAGGTTGCAGGGGTGAGGGCCTACCTGGCATGGGTTAAGGAGAGTGGAAAGTGAGAAAGCAGAGACACCTGCTGTCTCCTGTGTCAACTCTGTCCTGTGCCAGGGCCACCCAAGTCCTGGGCTTAGATCCAACATCTCTGGCCGCCCCCTGTCCGGGCGCTTGCATAGCCAGTGTCCCTCGAATAACACTATCTCAACTACTTACTCATAAAGCCAGTCAACATTTATCCCACAGACTCATTTGTTAGGCAGTGGGAATACAAAGCCAAATAAGATATACTTCTTGCCCTCATAGAATTTTCAACTCATTGAGAAAGAGGGTCTCAAATAGTTATAAAATACTAATCTTGATTCCACACCCACCATGTCACTCTACTTTCCATTCTCATTTACACTAACCCATGTAAGGTCTTAAAAATGAACAACAATGTCCTAAGCAGCCTCCCTGTGTCCTGTCTCTCCCATTCTTGCTAACCCACTTTAAACCTTGCTGCCGAGTTCCTCTTTCTAAAACACAACTCTGTTTGTGTCATTTGTTAATGGAGGAAGCGTTAATTGAGCACCCGCTGAGTACAAAAAGAAATCAAGGTCTTCCCTTCTATTATGGAGGGTCAGTTCCTGATTCAAACATCCCCACTGTACAGTCTCGATTAGAAGTAGCCTTAGCAGTGAGCTAGTCCCTGCGTGAGCCCCCTTTATGAATCTCTCTATAAATGATAAGTGAATCGCCGGATAAAAGCACATCCAGTCTATACTTAAACACCGCCAAGGATGGGCAATTCGCTTTTTTAATAGGAGCCCAATACAAAGTCCTACCATCTCTATAAAACCTCCCTCAGTCCCTGGATGTCCCTGCCTCCTCCGCAGTGCTCAGCACAGTGACTTGATAGTTTCACAAGACACTTGCAGAGTGAATACCGCAGCAATTCTCTGGATCTGCTTCCTATTTTGCGAAAGGAGGAAGCTAGACACGGACCTTCCTACTCTTGTTAGCGTGATTCCTAAATTTGACGTATTAGATAGTGTCGCATGCCTGATATTGTGTGTTTACCATTTCAAAGATACAATTGTGATTTTTGTGGAGGGAAACAATACACAAGAAACAATATGCATATAAACCAAATAAAATATCCGCTTTAAGTAACAGAAAATAACCAAGTTGCTCACAGGGAGGAGATGTATGCAGTCAAGACTCGCCATGGTGCACTGACAGGAAGAGCAGTTTAGCTGAACCAGGCTTTGAGTCCCCCAGAAAGAGTTAAGTCCCCAGCATTTTAAGCCTAAAGCCGATGCTGAGCCGAGGACACTAGAGGGCGCTCGGGCTCGCACTCCTCAGAGAGCGCTGTCTGGCCCTATTAGCCGCGGATTCCCGGATTCTGACATATTTGCTTGGTAGATAGAAATTCAAATGCGTCCAGAGGACAATTTCTAAAATGCAAGCTATTTTGAGTTTATTTTCAGTTTTTACTGATCTTAAACTTTTCTTGAAGGCATAAATATTAAGTAACTAATGTCTGTGCATTTCATGTCATTTTCCCCAGTGAGTATCTCCTGAATCTTAACTGTGAGCTCATTTAAGGCATTTAACAACCTCTAATGGGGTTGGGGGTGGAGGGATGGAAATAGAAGAGGATCAGGTAGGACCCTGTTCCATTCGCTTCCTGCCCACCCAGAGTGGCCTGGAGCCAGGCTCCCTGGGCCCCCCAGTTCCCAGAGCTCTGGGCCCTCCTGTCAGTGCAGGAGTCTAGAGGTGGCTACCTACACTTTCAGACGCCAAGCCTCTGGGACCAGTTAGGACACAGAAGTCAGCCCTCTCGCCTTTTCACTCCGTCCAAACCCACAGAAAGCTCTAAGAAAGTAGTGCTTAAAAGTACCTGGATATGCCTAGGCATCAGTGTGAGCTGGTTCTCACCAACATCACCAGACCTACCCCTGGTTCTGGGTCTTGACAGACGGCTCAGGGCGATGGCTGAGGTGGAGGCTGAGGTTGAGGCTGAGCCGCCCATTCGCTGTCAGGTGATGAGAGTGAGGCTATGGTTGGAAGGTGAAAGTAAATTGGGTAAAGCCCTGATTGATTGCCCTACCTCAAAGACAATTAAACAATGTGGAATTACACATCTACTAAGGGATTAGAACCAGATCATGGTTTTTTTTTGCCATGTATAAATGTTTGCTTGTACTAAAATTTGGGACACAGAATCTTAAGAAATCAAAGAGAAAAGGAAGGCACAGCTCTAAAGCAATAAATAGTGAATTAGAGCTTGCCCAGGCCTAAGGGAGAACCCTCAGGGCTAAGAGGAGGACAACCAAGGGGACCCTGGCATGGAGGGTCTTCCCGCCCTACCTACTCCTGGTGCCACCGGAGAGAAGACAAAGGAATCTGCAGGCACGAGGGACTCAGCAGCTGCAGAGCCCGAGAGGCTCCTTTTCATCCAGAACACCTTTCCATGTGGCTGTCACCCAGCTTCCAGCTGAGTTGAGGGCAGGGGACGGAATAGCCAGGTTTTGAAGGAACAATGGAGAGGAAATTTGGGGGTCAGGCTTCTGAGATGGGAAAAAAAGAGAAGTGCATTATCCAGTACCCCTCCATGCCCTCTATGCTGCTGTCTGGCACCCTGATGCCTTTCCTCTCACCTTAAAGGGAGCAAGGAAGGGGAGAGAGAAGCAAGCAGAGAGGGAAGATGCAGACTTGCTTCGGCCACCGTAGATGTCTCTTGAGGGCGAGCCGGGTGAGCAGAATGAGAACGGGGATGGAGCTGCTACTCCTTTCGGGTGGGGAGCACAGAACTCAAAGTTCCAGGCAGGGTCAGGGAGAGCAACCAAGAGCATCCCAGCTTGGGCAAAGGCAGCCTCTGTGCAGGGCACAGGGCTGCGCAAGGTCACGCCCAAGGAGGGGTGAGGGGGAGAGGCCTGAGCCGCGGAGAGGGCTCCGTAGCCCCTGGCCTGCACTCTCTGGGCTGCTCAGCCACTCCGGCTTTTCTCAGAAACAGGCCCGGCCTGGCTTCCCTCCACGGGAAGTGCAAACCCTAGAGGCAGAGCGTGGGCTGAGCTGAGAAAGAAATGGGCAGCACTCCCGCTCTGTCTCCAGGAGTGCAGTTTGAACCCTGCATAAACCGGGAGCAGGGCCCTGCCGGGGAGCATAAACACACACCATGTGTGAACAACGAGGAGCTGGCCCACAGCTGTGCCGAGGTCTAGCGTGCTGGGGCCGGGACCAGGTGGGGTCAGTGCCCCATTGCCACCTGCCTCTGCCAAAGGCAGGTTGGACTGGAAGCTCCCTGCACTTGTGGAGTTGGGGTAAGAGGGGATGAGTGAAACAGAGATCAAGGGGAGAGAGACAGATTTCTTTCTGCGGGGAGCTGGGGATGGCCACATCAAGAGGAGCTCCAGTTCTGGCAGATGGAAGTGCTCCCCTTCAGCAAACCCTTGAGAAGCTCAGTATCTTGGCCCGTTTTGGGCTGCTGTAACAGAATACTTGTGACTGCATAAAGAATAGAAATTTCTTTCTCACAGTTCGGGAGGCTGGCAAGTCCAACATCACGGTGTTGGCATCTGGCCAGGGTCCTCTTGCCACATCAGAACATGGTGGAAGGGCAAAGAGAGGGCAAGAGGGAGCACAGCAGGGCCGAAGTCATCGTGTTATAAGGAGCCCACTCCTGTGATAAGGGCACTAATACATTCACGAGGGCAGAGACAGCTCCCATTAGGCTTTACCTCCCAACACCGCTGCGCTGGGGATCAAGTGTTTGACACATGAACTTTGCAGGACACTTTCAAACCATGGCACTCGGGATGGGTGATAGCCACAGTCACAGTTGTCACATATGGCTCTGTGGGCTGGTTTTGAGTTGGGCTTAAACCTTAATTAAGGCCAAAATGCATTCACAGTTACATATTCTTCCCACATATCCAATCCTTCAAGATTGGGCTCAGGTGCCACCATGTCCATAAAACCACCCTGAGTCTCCCAGATGACCTGTTACCTCCCTCACCTGAGATGGCGCAGGCTTTATTCTTCACCTTCCTTATGGCTTTCCACCTTCAATGATTGGTGAACATGTCCCCTTTTCATGCCTCGCTGAAAGGCCTGCAAGGCCTGGGCCCATCTCTTGGCCGTCTCCGTCTCCCCGATAGCACCCAGCATGGTGACTTGAAAGTTTCACTGGACGCTTGCGGAATGAACAGAGCAGCAGTTCTCTGGGTCTGGTTCTTATTCTGTTACAGGAGGAAGCTATATTAATGCTTCTACAAACTCTTTCTTTCTGATTCCCTAATTTAGATTAAGTACTGGACACCTGCCACATATCTGATCCTTAGTGTTTCTGATTTCAAAGACATGAAAGACACGATTGTGATCTTGTGGTAACTACGACATGCAAGGGACAATTAGATTATGATACTAACATAATAAAATGCTAAATTGCACATTGTAAGAACAGCTTAGAAGAGGGAGAGATGCATGCAGTCCAGCGAGGGAAGGGAGAGCTAACTGGAAGAGTGAAGTGAGCTCAGAGGCTGGGGAGGATTTGCACAGGACGGCAGCCTGGCAGATGCTGCAGCCTTGTTCGTCATGCCCTGCCAGTGGAGCTCCTCACTGATGCTGTTGTCACTGACAGAACTAAAGACAAGGCAGGGGCCTGGGCTGTCCTGTCTTCTTGTGGAGGGTTAAGTCTCCCAGACAGAAGTTGCAGTAGTTACTGAGAGAGGCCAACCATCAGGACCCTTCTTGGATTTCTGCTCCTTAGACCCTGAGAAAATTGGGCTTCAGTGGCTGGGAATCTTCCACGACCTCATCCTCCTCCTCAGCTAAGTAGGAATGAGCTTCACTGGAACACCTTCCACTTGTCAAACATACACAGATCTTTCCCTAATCATCCTGGATGAAGCTTCCAATGTCTTGTGGGGCTGCCCGTGCTTTTACCCTGGGGTCTACCCGTGTCACGAGAGTTGGGGTATCTTTTTCATAGTTGGCATCATCTAGCTATTGGGAAAGTGATTCCACTACTCAGCTGGTTGTCATAGGAACTTAATTGTTCTTAGCTCAGGGATCCAAGATGCCTCTAAACACCTCTAGCTGAAAGATCAGACTTTCATTCTTCAGAGTCTGGCCTATGTCTGGTTTAATGGGTAGGAAGAAAAGTCATGGCCCCTGGGGAGGGGGGTAAATTTGCTGCTTTATCTGTCAACATGGGACTTGGTAGGAACAGTGCTGCCTAGAAACCAGTCTTGGGCCCCAGCATTGCCTTTTCATCCAGATAAAACAATTGCTCTTGGATAACATGGTCTGTGAGTCCAACGAACAGGCACGTGGTAAACTCAGCACACAGGCTGGCGCTATAGTTGTGGCGCGTTTTACAGCTTCCCAAAGAGCTGCACTACGCTTCCCACCGTGCCACCATTCTCCTTCCCCACATCTATGTTTATGTCTCCAGTGCCAAACACAGGCCTGGGCATGCAGAAAACGTCCTATAAATGATGCTGAATCCCCAGGGAGACACTCGGCAGATGAATGACACAAGCTAATACAGCCTGAGAGGTACAGTGTGACACAATTATAAAAATAAATATCCTCTATCTCATTTCACAACAGTGCATTTGAAACCCCGTCTTTTGGAAAAGCATTGTCTCCACCGTGATGCCCACATCACTGATCCTGCTTATCAAATTCTGTTGAACCGGCACGGAAGGAGCGACTCTCTGTAATCTATTTACCTTAAGGAGCTCGGTCACGTGCTCAGCTCACAGCCCGTTTATCAGGATGAAGGATGCTCTCTGGAGAGAGCAGACAGCAGGACAGGCCTGGCTCGGATGACAGTCTGCCCTGTGGAGATTGACTTTAATGAAGCACAGAATAAACAGGAAGATTAAGAGGGTGCAAAAATCAGTGACAAGTTCTGAGTTCACCTCTCTGTTGGAAATGAAAGGTTCTCTGTACAGCTGAGAGCTGTCTCTGGGCTATAGACAGGGGCATCTGTTTGGTTGCTAATGAATCCATGCTATCCAAATCAGCCTCTGCACGAGGAAAGAAAAGTTTTCTCTTAATTTACAGACCTACTTCTGTGCATTTTATTTAAATATACCCACAAGGCAACTTTCTTTAGAATGAGTAGAATGATTGGATTTATTAAAGGGTTTGAGAAAATATTTCATAGGCTAAAATGTTACCCTGACAAGCGGGGATAGATATTTCTGATATTGCCGTTTTATGCAGTCTTTCCACAGTCCTGTGTGCTGAGGAGGTACGCTTACTTAGCCACTCATGACAAAAAGGTGTAGTAAGTCCTGTACGTACAGCGCACCTTGAAGAGGGGCTAAGTTCTTGGAATAAAGCAAAAGCAAAACTGGCCTTCTTCATAGAACAATGTCAGTTGCATAGGAAATTAGTGGCTTTCAGACATTTCATTATATATTGTTTTAGTTCCTCATTTAATATATGGTTTTTTTCCCCAATAAATACAAAGAAACCTAGGTTATGAAACAGCCAGAGGGCAAAGTGCACAACTCACAACCATCTTTGGGAGATGACAGTTTCATTTAGAGCATGGGTCCTCAAACTTTTTAAACAGGGGGCCAGTTCACTGTCCCTCAGACCACTGAAGGGCCATTGGAGAACACGGCACACATTCCACACATGCGCACTGTGGGCCCCGGACGAGTCGGCTGCTAAGCAGGACAGGCAGTGGTGGCAAAAACACCCAGCGGGCGGTGGGCTGCATGTGGCCTGCGGGCCATAGTTTGAGGACGCCTGATTTAGAGGATCCAAAATGGAGATATTTTGTTATTTCATTGTTGTGTCTTTTTTGAAAGCATAAATCTTACTGAAAGTGGTAGCAAAGTATTGGTTCGATATAGCATATTCCTTATTGTTCAGTCAAACTGTGGGGACTAATGTGTCTGTGTAAAGGTATTGAATATGTTTATCGAACAGAATGTAACCTTGTTGATAGTACTGTAGCGTTTATACCAGTAGATGGCACTCTGATTCAAACTGATGTTCTAAGCTCCATGTGGTCTAGCAGTGAGGTTTATTCTGCAGTAACTTGTAAACAGGACACTGAACTAATCAGCCAGCGTGTGCCCAAGTGAAAATGTGTGGTTACACAAAAGTAACTTGAAGCCACACTTGCAATTTGTTTTAGGAAAATTGACATGTACAGGGTTGAAGTACACAGTCATTATAGAGTAATCAGAATGCCTGGATCCAGATGGGATTAGTGGAGAGCTCCTTTAAGGAAGGGATTCATAAATTAGACTTCTTGGAATGGAATGGAGGAGACATGAGGCAGCAAGAAGTAGACATTCCAGGTAGAAGAAGTGGCCTTTAGAAAGGTTTCTTGGGAACCAGAGAAGTGGGTGCCAGGAATATGAAATCATTTGCGTCTACTTTGAGAAAGTCATCTGAGACGGGCTTAAAATCAATACTTAAGCTTCATGTAATGAGAAGAAAGTGAGGAGGAAACAAGAGAAACACTAGCTTTGCAAAAATAAGCAAACAAAACACAGTCAGCCAAAGTATGCCTTGAATCCAGTTTCACTTTTGGTTATTTATCCCAGTAAATAAAATTCAAATCAGCCAACTGTGCCAACATCTTTTAGTTTTAGGTTTTACATAAGTGTAAGTACTTACATTTATATTTTACATTATGGGATTCTGGAGATGGCCGAACTTGTATTGGTCAAATGTAAATGCTAAATGTTTTCTTCCTAAACGTAGAACTCTGAACCATGTGTCTCCAGTACTTCCAAGAAGCCATCCATTAGATTTTAATTTTTTGTTACCTTAATAAATAAATTCCTAAACTTCTGACTGTCTCTGCAAATTTTGTATATTTATTTATTTTGCTTAAGCTTAGAATAACAGAAAGGTCACAGGAAATGTGTTTGTGATTAGGACTTAGCTTATATTTATTTTTAGAGCATTGGAGGCAATGCAGTAGTCTTAATTGGCATTGTACTTTCTAATGCAAACTCAAAGTGAAAGCAGGAAAGAGGTGCTTTAAATAATTCAGCAGAAACTGCACCAAATGAACAGTTAGCTAAATCTCTTTAAGGTCTCAAATATAGTAAACCATTAATGAAAACTATGTTGCTTAATCTACAGAAAGTGTTTTCCATTCGCCATATGCCACCAAGACTATCATTAAAATAGTAATTTATTATGAGGATGAGTCTTTTAAATGCTGTGCTGAGGCCCTGGCTGCTGGAACCACTGGCTGGGTCAGCACTTTGTGGCTCTAAGCGGTGATGTGCCCTGGGTAAGAAAAGGAGAAATGAGGTTCATTAATTCTTCAAGTGTCTTAAACACAGAAATCCTGTGCTTTTTGTTCCTAGAAGAAGGAAAAAATGTCCTTAAACAAATAGGTTAAATACTGTGATTGGTTAGATCTCCTTAAGAATAATAACATTTCCCTTTGGATTTCAATAGCTGTCCCTGAGACAGGGCTTTGAAGTTTGCTGAAGGGAGGGGTTTTATGTGGTCCCTGTTCTGAGCAACAGAACCAGTCTCTACAGGACTAGGTGAAGTTAAGCATGGAGTCTAATAGAAAAGAGTAGAACAAATGTAGCTGCCGCGCCGGGGATAAAACCTATGACCTATGCCTTGAAGAGCCACTGCTCTCTTAGCTCAGACAGCCATTCTGAGTTTGTCAGTGCTGCTGCCATTGTACTGTAGGTTTGCCGGCCTTGGTATTTGAAGACAGTCAGGAGGTCACCTTCTTTGAATATAAAAATGCATGTCCTGCGCTAGTAAGTTCGTGTGATCTGGAGGGAGATGTAAGGCTGGATTAAGTGGGGTGAGTAGTAAAAGATTAATCTAGAAAGATAGGAGGAAAGATAGTCACATTATGGAAGACGTTGGACACTCAGGACCTGGGTCTTTTGGAAGCCCGTCTGAGATGGAAGCCACACATGCACATTCTTACTTAATCCCAGTAGTTTATTACATCTTTGCCAAAGGAGTTGCAACTTAAAATTTTTATTTCCAACCATAACCCACAAAAAGAATTGTATAGCCCCTAAAATATTCATGTTATTGCTGCTGCATGTTTGTGCTAGAATTCGAGGTTTGCCTTTAGCTATACCTTAGCATAAAATAAATCGTACTAAAAATAATTGGCATAAAGCCATCAACTTGCTCATTTGCTCTCTTTCACTGTAAGACAATAAAGGAATTAAATGATGTCTCATTTGGCTTCGTATATTTGCATACTTAAATGTTTGGATACATCCCTGCTAAGTAAATTGGGCCTTATCAGACAGACTAGTAGTGGATGAATACCTAAAATTTTCAAATGTATTAATTCCTTATGACTGTTATGAGTAATTTTTAGTGACTATTATACTATATCAATGATATATTGTTGAATGTATAAAGCAGGTTAACACAACTGTATATTCTTTTGAAAAAATGTTATATATATATTTAAATACATATGGTAATATGCATACATGTAAAAACCAGTATGTCACCATCCCATGAGTACAAATTAAGTCATATTAACATTTAATAGCCAAAATATAATGGTCCTGAACCCCTCACCTGTTTGATCATCGAGTTTTTTTATTGGTGTGATACATTTATTATAATTGATGAACCAATATGGATACATTATTATAATATTAACTAAAGTCTATATTTTACATTAGAATTCACTCTATATTGTATAGTTCTATGGATTTTGCCAAATTTATTTATTTATTTTGTGTGTGTGTTTTTTATGTTTTTTTTCTTTTTATTTCATCATATTATGTACAAATATAGCTAAGGTTACATATATTGCCCTTGCCACCCCTCCCCCTCCCCCCACACCCCCCCCCCAGTCAGAGCTTCAAGCATGTCCATCCTCCAGGTGGTGCACATCACACTCATTATGTAAGTATACATCCATCCCCTCCTCCCCCCTCCCACCCTCCTGACACCTGATAAATGTTTCTTTCTTTCTTTCTTTTTTTTTTGACATTTTGGTTACATTTTATATCTTTGCCTCTCCCTAAGAAGGGTTAGAGATATGCCCTTCCCCTCCACAATGCTCACCACATCCCTAAGACATGGGTCTACCCTCCACCCCACCACCCCCCATTCCCTGGTGAACACTACCACCATTTGAGCACCATAGTTTTAATCAGTCAGTACCTATTTGATGGCGAGTACATGTGGAGCCCATTTTCCTGAACTTGTGTCACCTCACTTTAGATAATGGCTTAAGCTTAATCCAGGATAGTATAAGTAGTGCTAGCTCGCTGTCGTTTCTTAGAATTGAGTAATATTCCATTATGAACATATACCAAATTTTGATTATCCACTCATGAATTGACAGGCACTTGCATTATTTCCATGTCCTTGCAATAGTGAATTGTGCTGCCATAAACATTCAGGTGCAGATGTCTTTATAATATAATGTGTTATGCTCTTTTGGGTAGATGCCTAACAATGCTATTGCTGGGTCGAATGGTATTTCTATCTCTAGCTGTTTGAGGTATCTCCGAATTCTTTTCCTAAAAGGATGCACTAATTTGCAGTCTCACCAGCAGTGTAAGAGTGTTCCTGTCTCTCCACATCCTCACCAGTATTTGTTTTTTTGGGATTTCTTGATACAGGCCATTCTCACTGGGGTTAGGGTGGTATCTCATTGTGGTTTTGATTTGCATTTCTCTAATGATTAGAGATGTTGAGCATTTTTTTATATGCTTGCAGGCCATTATTCTGTCTTCTTTGGAGAAGTTTCTGTTCATTTCCGTTGCCCATTTCTTGATGGAGTAATTATCAAGTTTTTTTACAAAATATTTCTGAGAGCCCCAGGAGCTCTCACATACATAAAACAA